TGTGGGCGTTTGGGGTTCCTAGAATGGCTGTTGGGAATGAGGTTGCTGGGTGGACAGTGGGCTCAGGCTGCCTGTACGTTAGTTAGACTCTTGCTCCTGTTCTTTTTTGCATTACGCTGGATTCCTCTCTCCCTCTTCAGGTGCAAGACATGTGGGGAGTACATCTACAAGGGCAAAAAGTTTAACGCCCGCAAGGAGACGGTGCAGAATGAGATGTACTTGGGGCTCCCCATCTTCCGCTTCTACATCAAGTGCACCCGGTGCCTAGCAGAGATCACATTCAAGGTATGCCTCTTGACCGCTGTGTCTCGTCTGGACTTGTTGCTAGGTCAGGGAGCCTGGTACACTGGTTAGATCAGGGGTGTTGGGAGATAGCCGCTCTAGCCCCTGAAGGGGGCACGTTTCCCGTCAGTGTTGCTGTTATAACATCAGATTTTGGGGTTACGCTGATTGAAGCATGTTCCCCTTCTAACAGTCTGATTTTTATAAGATCAGAACAGGGCACTAAGGTAGCCCAGCTGTGTTAGCAGGATGGTGAGCATTTCTAGGCTGTAAGTGATCTTTCCTTTGGCAAGAGGAGCTACTGGAGCAGTGGTGTGAATAAAACAACACCAAAAGGATTGCATCACTTTGAAATGCAGATGAGCTGTTTGAAGTCAACCCTGAATGTGTTGGCTGCGACTGGCACAGTATCTTCCCAGAGCACATGGTACATGTCCAACTGTTGCCTTGTCTTCCCCCCACCCCCCGCCCTGCTTTCCTCAGACAGATCCTGAGAACACGGACTACACCATGGAGCACGGGGCCACACGCAACTTCCAAGCGGAGAAACTTCTGGAGGAGGAAGAGAAGCGAATGCAGAAGGAGCGGGATGAAGAAGAGCTAAACAATCCCATGAAGGTATTGAACACCACCCCCTGCAGAAGCCAGGTGGCCTCTAGCTCCTGCCAGCATTTTATACAAGGGGAGACAGCTAATACCAGACCTCATACAGATACTCGTCTATAGGAGGTGCTGTCCGAGTTCTGAAGCCCTGTGGAGCTGGCACAGATGGACAGTAACCACGGTCTCTGCTGTGAGCAGGTTCTGTCCTGTCCTAGAATGAATGACAGGCACTTAACTTAAGTCCTGCAAACTAAGCTCTTCATAGCCTTACTGTCATGTGCCTGCTGCTCCTTCCAAGAGCTATACTGAACCAATGGGGGGGGCAGTCAGCATTGCTTGTAGATCAGGAAGTCTCAAACCTGTCCAGGTCCCTGGGTGGGATCTAAACCACCAGGAGCCTCCCAGGTTGAATCTGGGCGCAGTGGGCTGAGCAGCAATAGGGCAAGCAGCAGCACAGTTGTTACTGTACCCATTGCTTGTTCCTTCCTACTGCTGACATGTATGCCTGCTGGGGCTTTGTAGCAGTGAATCTTGCAGCAGGTCTCACTCTCATTCACCCTGCCCCCAAATTTCCAACCCCATGGACATCAGGAGGCGCTACTTCACGGTCAGGGCGGCTAGAGTCTGGAACCAGCTTCCAAGTGAGGTGGTGCAGGCTCCCACCCTGGGGGTTTTTAAGAGGAGGTTGGATGACCACCTTAC